CACAATTCGTTGTGACCTTTGGGGCAGAAGACTTTAATACCCTAGGTCAGATATATGTAGAGAATCCGTTGCTATTGGAGGTAATTATTGATTTTTTGCCTGTTACCGAATCTTTTCGAAAAGATTATCAATCCCAGAATCCGCTACCTGCTACAAGCCAGCTTTATTCTTCAGCCGCTGAAAGTCTAAAAAGTTAAAATTTACTTGTAGTCCAAAAAATGTTGCATTTTAGAGCTGCCAGAAAATAAAAAGGGGACATCAAAAACAAAGAATAAGCCCCGGTGTCCCCTTCAAAGAAACCGCCTTCTCGATTTTGAAAACTTCATGGAAATGTAGCTTCCCTGACTAAAATACAACTAGGTTCTGTAGAAAAAAAAAATGAGTTTAGCACTGGAGGCTAGAAACAAAGTCTTAGCAGATTTTGTAAGAACGGGCTATGCAAGCGCAAGGTGTTCGTTACTAGGTAATTCCTTGTTTCTTTTTTCATTTGAATATTAATTGTGAATTGTTTGGATTTTTGGATTTTTTGCGGATTTTTTAGAGCTGCATCCTCGCAAGTAAATAGGGTAGAAATGAACAGCATCCCCGAAGAATTAAGAATTTTACCGGATGGGGAGGATTTCCTACAAATTCAACTGCCAAATATTCATATCTATTAGGTTGTCCCCAAAGTTTTGTCGGTTTTTTCCATTGCTCACTAAAACTCACAGAACATCAGTCCATGAATGTTCTAGGTACCATTTGATTTAGATTTTCATCCTCTTTATTAAAGCTATATTTGCTCTCTGGCCTACCCTGTCTTTGCAATGTTATCGCCATGGCTCTTTGAGCAGTTCAACAGTAACGCCAAACATTTCTAAATTTTGAAAAATTCTATCCTGACACTTCTAAGGAGCGCTGGTAACTGTTATGTAGAGCAAAGCTTTGGCTACATTGTAGCCATTTTAGATTACGTGGGTCACGTTTACCAAGTCTGTTATAACTATTTATTTAATAAAAACCGCGGCTTTTTGATTACGTTTGCCACGTAAAAGTACCGAAAATTCCAAAAAGCTGCTTTTTTAAAGCAAGTCAGACTGAGTAATGTTGCATAAATAGTGTTCAATAAGAATCATGTTGTAGTTCGCAGAAACTTCAGAAGTTTTCATGTTTTTGCTGTAGTGGCGTGTTTCATGACTTTGCCAAAAATCGAGACCTCCTAAGAGATAATATTTTGAAGCGAAAATCAGCAGATTAGAGGAATCCAAAAGTATCATCTTGTAGTCCGAGAATTGCTCTATTTAATCCTTACTTAGTCCTTTTCGAAGATTTGAAGTAAAATTTTCAAAAATTAGCCGAACTTTGAGCAGACAAAAATGACTGGTGAAGAATTTCAGCAATTATCAAAGAAAGCATACAAAGTTGTGGTTCGAAAATGTAAACACAAGAAAGAGAAGGAAAAGCTGCATCGAATACATGCTGAAGCTCATTCAGATCTTCATTGTGCGTGGTCTTATAGTGATCTGAAAAAACCGACAAAACTTTCGGGACGACCTAATATTATTCCGATGTAATTATTGAGGTAAATGCCCACAAAATTGTCCAAATTTGTCACAGAGAAAACCATTTGACAGCAGTGCGGATGTAAAATTTTAAATTTGATTGTGATTTTCATTTGTGATTTTTTGTGTTGTTTTTTATTTATTTAACTTTTTTTGTTTATATTTTTTGTAATGTATATTACTAATAAACCACAAATTCTCCGCTGTGTTGATCGATATATAATATGTGACAGTAGCTCGACCTCTTAGGGAATTCTCGCACCTCAGCGCGAGAGGTGCGAGGCTGCTGCGAAAATCTCTCTGCAAGAGATTGCGGACGACGAGAGCGCGCTTACGGTAGCTCAGCCGCGACGCTGGTGCCAGCTCTGGCGGCTGGCTGCGGCACCAGGTGGCTGCCTGGGTAACACTTGCACGCCTCCCCTGGCACACAGCAGATGGAATTCAAATTTTTTGAAGGGAAATGCAGGGAATATTGTATGAACCCGTTTAAACATATACATTCATGATCCAATAACATCCACATTGGATAGAACAAGTTGAACATGACCATCACATACTATGCTCTGACACGATCTCACACAGCCCGGGAATAGAATTGCGCATCAAAAAAATAGCTTTTTCACCCGACGTATGACTAGGGTTGAGCGTGGGTCAGGCGTGCTCGACCTGGAGGTCGTGCAAAGGGGGGGGGGGTCGTAATCGTAATCAAGGAAGCGAATTTGTTCAAAAATTGAGGAAATATTACGATCGAGTAAGGTGAAGAGAAAAAGCGCTCAACTGTGCATCTCACAATTTCATCAGAGGAGTTACTGTCGTGAACAGCACGCTGGTTAGTCCGATTAAGAATTCTCAGCCTAATTCCAATTCTTCTACTTTACAAATACCGTAAGGTCATCAGAGAAGCTTTTTGTGTAAACTGGATACGATTTTCGTAGTCTGCATGCCAAACTACCTCAACGAGCTCTACAAACCACTAACTATTACATTTATTAGTGTCTCCTAAGGCCTCGGACAGAGTTCACGCGATTTGATCGTCGCGACTCAATCGCTACAAGACAATTGTTACAAGTTCATTGCAAGCCGATAGCTTGCATTTCGGTTGTGATACTTCAGCTCGAAATTTTTGAATGTAAAATAATGAATGAAAATCGCGGCGATTAAATCGCGACGATCAAATCGCGTGAACTCTGTCCGAGGCCTAACGTCTAAAAAGCATGGTTTTTGATCATGGTTGACTTTCAAAAAAGTGCAAGAAATCAGCTTTTTTCTATTTATAACGAAGTATTACTCTTTATCAGTTTATGGTAGAAAATGGACTTCATTCGCTTTCAAATAATGGATTAAGAATGTTGCCAGAATGTTCGTCATCGCGTTTTCTACCTCGGGTGCTTCAACTCCACCGATCACCACAAAGCCAAAACAAGTCGAGGTAAGCTCAAACGGCTTTTGTAGAATCTTGAGGTTTATGCTAGCGAAACATATACAATTGAGGTGGAAAAGATTTTCTGGTGATAAAGTTAATGGAGTCAGGCGCAACCCATCAAAAGGTCAGACTGCCTGAGCTTTTGAGGGACAACTTTGGGATATTCATCGTTCTCGGTTCTTCTGAATGAGCTAAGTCCAAGACTTTGCTTTGCAGCTTCAAGAGATATCACTAAATCGCTTCTTCAGACGAGAAAAGTGCTGTTTGGACGGGTCGCGAAAATGGCTGCTGGAGCCAATAATCCAATTGCCGCCGAGATGGGTACGGTGTCTCCAACCATGAGCCAATCGCGCTCTGAATAGGCATACGCCGCCTGCCTTAGCACTTTACACATCTGGAAAAGCGGGTTATTGATATCCAGTGTTGGACATAGCTCATCCAGGGGAACCGAGAACGATGAATATCCCAAAGTTGTCACTCTGCCGAGCCGCTGCCTTTGACTTGCCTTCAAAATTAAGAAATCGTTCCATTCCTTTAGGAGTATTGAACTTATAACTTCTTCTTACTACAATGGAAATTTGAAACCGAACGCCGCACTCCTAGAAAAATTATGCCCCTTTCAATAGGTTCAGATCAAAGTCAGCCGTCAAATTACGTGTGTAAAGTGCAGTTACAGAAAATCGGGCGTACATTTCTCACAAATCTGAAAAGTTTCTAGAAAAGGATGATGCCCTCCAAATTGTCACATTCTGAGGTTCTGGGGGTCAAGAGAAGGAAGAAGGGGTCGCTTTAGGGTTTTCACGGGGGGGGGGGGGGGGGAGGGGTTGTCGTTTTCATGAGTTGTGCCTGACCTCTTGCTCAACTCTGCGTATGACACTTTACGAACAAGTGAGAAAACCATTGGAAACTCAGTGAACGGTTGATGTGCCCGATTTTCTAGATTTGCTGCGCAGTATCGACGCGTTGTCGGGCGGAAGACACAGAAGCACAACTTCCCCTTACATCTCCAACTTTTCCTTACTCGGAATGCTTTGACTTGTGTTCTTACTATCACTACTCCATCTCACTATCACTGCTCCTACTGTTTGGATTAGTTTTTTTCTTTAGTCATGAAGCATTCTACGGCCTGCTACATTTCCAGATCCTGACAAGCGTTTTGAATAGAGGCTCCTTGATCAGGCTGAACATCTCAAATGGTCCATGTTATCAAAATTCTTCGCCACTGAAGCCAGGTCCCCTATTCTTTTTAATCTCTATGTTCTAATGCTAATAAAGTGCGTCAAAAAGACAACATTTCTTCGGTTTTATTCTCGATCACTTTTTCACGCGTACTTTATCCTGTTCCTTTCTCTTGATCATTGATTGAAAGATGTTGGACTCGATAAACACGGCGCTCTATAAATACGACTTTTTTGATAGAGAACATCAGGTCGCCAAAAGCAGCGGTTGCGGACATCTGCGACAAGCCGTGCGCCTCTACGCCTGACTAGCCGGTGCTAGTTGTACATGTGTTGGAGTCCATTGGCGTTCTAATGACCTTTACCCCTCGTTTCTAACTCTTCACCGTCGCAGGTCTTTCGAGGATTTTTTTCTTCTGTTGAATTACGAAGTAAGGAGTGGGGGGGGGGGGGGAGTGGCTGAGCACGAAACTCAGCTCCAGCAGTGGCAAAGAGGACCGTTGATTTGTTACACGCTTTCCTAGAATCGTAGAACAAACTACCTCTGCAATGTGCAAAATGGACCCCTTTTTCCAATGTGCTCGCCTTGAAAGTGATTTTGAACAGCCAAAGCAATTTTTTTTCCATTTTTTTTGTCCAATTCGGTAATCACCTAGTGGACAGTTTTGAAAATAAATGGGAGCGGAGCGCTTGCTGCACAGCATGGCCCTTTCTGCCACCAATTCAACTCGTCTTTAAGAACGACTATGCTTCATTATTGGGCTTCAATACCGTATCCCATTTATGTTACTGCTTATGTTGATTACCACTTCCTCTCCCAGAAAGCACGTACAATCGTTCGACAACGACATCGCAAACACCTTAGAAGTGAAACGGCAAATATTCATTTATCTCTAAACCACGTATAAATATTACTCTGTAGCAAATCTGGCAGAAAGCGAAAGAAATCACAGACGGAAAGCGCATTTAAATCGAACAATCAGTGATGACGCGTGACGCACGCACGCTATTTAGAAAAACAAACGGGGGCGGAGCGCTACGAGGCGAGTTGCGACATTGTGGCAGTGACGCGAACCGGCGACATCGTCTGCGAGGCGGCACAAGAAGCGTGCGAAGGCGACAGCTGGACTGGCGGTGGGTCTTCACCGGATACGTAGTAATGGGTGACACCGTTCTCACCTTCGATCGCGGATATACTAAAAATTGTGAAAATAGTCTTTATAAGTTTCAAAAACAACAAGAATAAAAAAAAACGATAACAAAAACGAAAACGAAAACGAATCTCAGATTTGTAGCTTACTTCGTTGTTGTGCTCATTCCTTCCTTAGTCACGCCAAGCACCGGAGCTGGTCTTGACGAATTTTGCGCAGCTGTACGTAATGCATCACGCGGCGCGGTTCTCGTGGGCGTGGCGATCGCCGGCATCGTTGTGCTTTTGGCTGTCGTTGTCACTACAGCGGCAGGAATTCTTCTCAGCAGATGCGGATTTTCGCAGTTGAATGACATCATCTGCTCTTTCTGATGTTCAAAGCACTCCCGGCACAAGAAGTTGTTACTTTGTAGCGCTGGCTAAAACAAAGATTGAAAGAAAAACTGGTCAAATTTTTGAAATAAACATGCATACCTTTCCACAATATTGATTGATGCAAGTAATCATAAGTGATGAGGCGCTAAACGATCGGCTTATGCGTTTTCGGCCATTTTGGGGCTAAACGCAAGAGTAAGTGAACGACACTGGATGCATATGGGATAGATAACTGAATGCGAAGTAAACTGTAATTTGAAAAAGCACTTACCTGCTTTGCACTCAAGAATCTTTCCCTAGCACTTCTCATGTACTCCCTAACCATCTCTTCCATATATTCGTGTGAAGATGATACCAAACGTGAAGCGATTAGGCAATTAGTACGCGATAAGTCAGCAGCACAGGTCTAAATCCAAAAAATGAGTAAACAAAAAAGAAAAGATGCAAAAAAAACGTATAGCATGACATAACCAGAACACTCACACGTGCATCAATGCCATTTTCCTTATTCTTTCCATTTGATAGGCGAAACGTGCGAAGGAACTGTTGAGTAATCTCGTTGATTATACGCTTCTTCTCTTGTGTGCCGCTTGCTACACCTAAACAAAGATTTTTTCTAATGTACACAAGAGGAAGCGAATATTTCCACTACAACAGGTCAATTTCTGGGGCTTTTAACGACTATGACACCGTGAAAGCACTTAGCAACTAATCTCAAGTCAACAATAATAGATCAAGGCCCATAGCAGTTAAGATTCAGAATTTTGAAGAGAGCAAGCCAAAAGAGGGCGAGGCAAGAACAAGACTTGCCACATGGCAGAATTCGAAGGTGAGAGGAAGCTTATGACAGAAGGATAGATACAAAAGATGGTAAGTTGGGCAAAGATTAGAATGTTCGGCAATCGCTCGGCGCTTTAAACGTTCTAGATCGAAGCAGCAAAAAATTCGACAACAGATCCCTTGCTTCCAGTACAAATCACAACCCAGTTCCACCTTTTTGTCCGAACCAAATAGTCACATTAGTTCCACGTCACGTAATTGTTATGTACTTCAGGATTATGACTATGCAAAAAAAGTAGCCGAACGTTTGATGTAATGTCCAAAATTGGTAAGCACGAACTTTATAACTTCACATGAAGTTAGATGTAAGCTAAGAAAGATGTGCACAATTGTCATCGCTTTGGAGCAGCTCCATCAAGTGTATTAGTCCTTAGGCCTAAGGCATACCTCACGCGATTCTTGTCGCGGCGCGATTTGGCAACGCTCCAATTGTTCATAACTCATCGTAAGGGGTTTCTGAATTTACGGAAGATGGTGCATTTTATCAAACTTCAAAAGTTATACATGCTATGCATTTGGGGTCTGCCAGTATTGTATGTGAAGAGATCTGGCAAATTGCCAGAAGGCGCGGCGACTGAAATCGCCTGAGGTATGCCTTAGGCCTTAAGCGTTATCATATCAGAAGATGGTACTGTAAAGCCCTGAGCATACGTCACGCGATTTGGCAATACTCCAGTAGTTCATAACTCACCGTACAGGGTTTTTAAATGTACGTAAGACAGGGCATTTCACTAACCTACGGAAGTACACATGCTGTGCAATTGGAATCTGCCAGTATTAAATTTGAAAACATGTGGCAAATTACCAGATCGCGTGGCGACTGACAAGGGAAGGAAGGTTGGTCGAAGTGGCCTTTTGAGATGAGATGTACACTGTTTTGTAGAGCTTGGAACGCTGCCAAATCTACCTTTGCTATCTGCTGCGGGCTTCTGGGCGAGGAGTTATGGAGGTTTTTGTGAGTAAAAATCTGAATGCAAAAATAGGGTAAAATAACTCGTAACCTCTTCCCAACGTTCAAATGAGGCAGCAGCGAGTTGGTACATTTGAATCAAGATTATTTGTTCCACCAGGAGTGACCTGACTACCAATTAATCCCTATAAAAAATGTTGCGACTGATTTTAACCTAGTCTTGTATTCAGATCTTTACTCACAAAAACCTTCATAACTCCTCGCCCAAAAGCCCGCAGCAGATAGCGAAGGCAGATTTGGAATCAGCGTTCCAAGCTCTACACGGCAGTACCCATCTCATTTCAAAAGGCCACTTCGACCAACCTTCCTTTCCTTGTGAGACCGCGTGAAGTATGCCCGCGGCATATTAGAATGGAGACTGCAAGTAGTTTACTACAATCCCGTCTCAGTTTGGAACATTTGGGTATGCTCGCGCGTCTCAAAACTATTGTACACAATTATTCGATTACGCGCATGTCGTATACACATTGCTTCGTAAATAGTAAGTATTGTTCCGCCCAATCAAGATGATCTCAATTAATATGAAGCACAACAGTACGAGCACGAGTCCCAACGCTAAAATTGACCTACTAACCGCTACTAGCCAATGTCATACTTTTATCCATTCCTGTTGATGACTGTGTGGTACGAATTGGTCTGGTCTTCTTCACACTTCCCCTTCTCACGTCCATTTTCACCAGATCCATATATTCGCTCAATAGCGCTAGTTTATCGCCATCTGTCATCGCAAGTCGCGCCGCCATCGATGCATCGTCATCATCGCTCCACCTTCAATAGATTTTTATTTCCTTTACAATCACACTCTGACCACATTTACGACATTCACAGTTTCCTAACAAGACATGCACTGTTCTAGAAGCTGAAACTAAAGAAAAGGTTCGTAAACTAGAGAGCTGAAGAAGGGTTCGATTCTCACATTTTCTGTGAAGGTGAAGCACATTCTTTCCTGATAATAACAAAATTCAGAAAGACTCACAAATATCTACGAAATAAAAAAGGAATAAAATTCTGAAACACAACTAACCAACTAAAATCTGGTCCAGGATCGATAGCAAAATGCACAGGGAGTAGATTTCTATTGATGTCTGTTATCGGGATGATCTCTAAAAACAACGCGCGTTTCCCCCGATCGAACTAATAAATTCCACCAAAAGACCATCAAACAACTCACGCATTTGCGATGAGTCATGCCTCATCGGAACTAATGGTGAGAAATGCGCCGAATCATAGCACAATACCAGCGGAGACCTTGAACAACGTCAGGTGATCAAAAATCATAAAAACAAAGAAGTCAAAATCAATTACCTGTGACATTGCTCTGATGGACATTCTAGTGGTAAATAAATTCCTCCAAACGAAACCGGTGACAATTCTTCTCCTTTAGCATTGCGAAGTACCTGCAGAATAACACCCATAACACCCAACACTTTCTGCAACAGAACTTCTAAACGTACCGTATCCGACACTACTATTATAGGCCTTTTCAGTACATGAGCTAATGCAAACACATGAATCGCTTCCAAACTTTCGTAAATCTGGTCGGTGGAATCAGAACTCGAATCATCGGTTTTCCTAGACAATAAGAAGTTGCAAAAACGTTTTGGAAAAAGCAATCATGAGAAGAAAACAGGAGAATAATGGTACTTACCTAGGTACAGGTGACGCTAATGCTACGATACCATTCCATTCTTGCATCCATTCTTCATCAGACAACGTGAGGCTAAGTCCGCTAGCCTATAAAATGAGAATAATTACTCCATTACCGGGCAAATTCATTACTCCCTAATCATCCTCATAGTCATTCCCTTCGTACACACAGCTCCCCGCTCTCTCATTACGCTCTAATCTGGGGTAAGTTTTCGAGCAGGCCTCCGGAGTCTCCAGGGAGATCCCCTTCGAGTTACTCTACCTTGCAAACAAACTTAATTTGAGAAGACATCTCCCATTAACGTGAACAAGCGGACTACGCTGCAATGCTAGATGCTCGCATCAACAAGAGTTCTCGTGGAAAAAAGTAAAGGCTTTCCGCAGTCAAAAATGGCAACCCAATGAAAAGAAGACATTTTACCTGATTAGCATGATGCTCTGCCCATTTCCAACGACGCCAGAGAGCACTACGTCTCGAGCCTCGTTTCAGCATCTCGTACAAGGCTTCGCGAAGGGTTAGTTGACGATCATGCAGTCCCCACATTCCTAAAATAATAAACTGAAAACTAGGAAAAAGTAAAAATTACAATCTACAGCTTACCCAGTGAAGCTGCATGTAGTAAGCAGTTACCATCTCCAGTAGTCGACAATGGATATAGCTTTTCACCATATTGATGCCACCAATTCAGATGTTCTGAAATGAGAAACAGATATGCTTACAAATAATAATATAATAATATACAGATATACAAATAATAATATACAAATAATCGAAAATAAAGATACTCACTTGATGCCTCCAATCTTCGCTGTGTAGGTGTCTCAATTAGATCTTTCTCAAGGAAATTTCGGAAATCTGGGGCGAGTCGCTCCAAATCCGGAAGGCAAAAAGCATATCCTGGTGTCGGAAGCTTTCGAGTACCCCATTCGCCAAGTCCAGACACTTTGTCTAAATAGAAAAAGTACTCGGGTGCAGACGGAGGAAGAACAGCGATAAAGTACATTGGCATGAAAAACGAGTGTGTTGCAAACGACACACAAGTGAGCAGTGGAGTGGAGTCGACATACGGGTTTGTTAAACAAACATAGAAGAGGAAAATAAGAACCACCTCATACATAGTTTATTACGGGAAAGACCCGTATCAAAAAAAAAAGAGAAATGCTCTACTGGTGCTTCACGGCGATTTCACAGATAAAACTAACAAAAAAAGAAGGCATCAAAGTTTGAAATAGGTGTAAATCCAGAAACATGCGAGATAAAACTGTTACGCAACGAAAAAAAAAGAAAAATGCAAAAAACCCACCATGCGATGTGGACGGCGTCATCGATGCCATCTCTTCTCGTGCACCTTCTAGTTCGAAGTTTTTCAATGCCACTGCCAGATCCCAATCGCATTCTGGAAATTAGATATCATTCTTCAAGATTATTCTGGACGCTAATGAAAAAGTTGCCATAAAATTCATTGTATTCACAAAAATGAGCAGGCTTCTAATGGATGGTCTCTATTGAAGGAAAACGATATGCCTCTTCTATGAGAGAAATATGCCAAAACAAGAAGTTTTTCTGCAAGCATATTAAGAAGCGCAAAACAATTGATTTGAAAATTTTCGATGCTCGCACGAAACCACAGATGGAAACCAGCGTCAGAAGTTCAAGAACAGAGCTCAGACCCCAGAAAACCACTATATAGTTCACGACCAAGGGAAAGATTGTTTTTCGCAGCGTAAGATAGTTGTCCATAATCAAGGCCTTTAGCATTCCCACATAATGGACGCTTTCCAGCGGACTAGTTTCGGAGGGTTATATCTCATAAATCACTCCAACGCTCATTTCATTTTGCTTTTTGCCACATTAGCTGGCTGGAAAATGAGCCAACTCCCTGCTAGCACATTTCCGCATCTGGCAAGTCAGTAACTCATCGTGGACAAGATGAGATCGACTAAAACGGGATGGGAGGCTGCATACACTCTGCGTATGGAAAGCCTCACTGCTTTCCCTCTTCAACGCAATCACTAGTAGAAAATTGCATAGCTCAGGGATAGTGCGGCCGTTTAATCCGATCAAACTTCGCGCTAGTCGGACGTGTTTCATAGAGTGCGCTAATCGCTCGCCGACAATAAGATGCACAAAAATTACAATTTTTCGAAAGTTCACGACAGTCATGCCGCTCCGAGTGATTATAGCTATTCTTGTCCCACTCTCATTCTCAAAAGCCGCTATTCTGAACAATAGCAAGAAAGCAAGCTATCACAAAGAAAGCTTTCAAAGACGAGCTTGTAGCGGACAAGATCTCTTGCAGGAACTGGTTGCAAGCACTCGGGAACCATAATCCCTTAGCAATCATTTCCTTTTCACTCCACTTTTCAAGAACAGGAAAAACTTGATGTACGCTACCATAACACATGTCGTTACATATTCTTCTACATCTTTTTCCTGCCATAACAGACAGCGATATGGTAGCGTAGTAATATCCAAAACCTTGGTGATTGGCTCAAAACAATCCGTAACCTCTGATCAATAGAGGTACCAGCAATTTACACGGGGGACAGATTTGGTTAATGGTTTAAAGGCCCGAACAAAAAAACTTCATAGTAATTTCCAGAACGATGTTACCGAACAAGCGTACCTGTAGGTAAAAATGGGGCCATAAACAAATGAATGTGGAATTATGATGCGATCAGGCAGCGCGGGTGCATCTACGCAGGCTCAAAACACTAATCTCAAAATTTAGTCCAGTCGAGCAAACAGCATCACATAACACACAAAGAAAATGAACAGGAATCTAACCACAAGTAGAGCATTTCCAAAATGATGCAGTGTAGACCATGACGATACCAGGCTCTCAGGCTCATCGGTTTTTCAACAGTGATGCCAGTTATCGTTGTTTTTTTCTCATTTCCTTTCATTTCTGTACCTCGACTGGTAGAAATGCAAATCAAAATTTTTACGTCGATTTATTTGCTGACCTGCGCAACCGCGTGTTTTCAAGACGAGATTGTTTGCAAGACCTATCTTGTCCAAAAATTTCTTTTTAGTTTTCTTTGTAGTCTAGACAGGCCTTGTCAGAAGAAGCTTGAGTGAGTGCTTCCATCATTTCTATTCTGGGAAATCTGCGTGCAGTCCTCATCTTCGGTAGTGTGTGATTGCACACATTAGCAATAAAAGCCTACTAGACTGTGTTTACACTACACCCATGTAAATTATTTACTTCTTTTACTGACTGCTATGCTCTTGAAATCAACAGGAGCACAACAAAACTCCAGTGAAGTCTTCACAACAACAGTGATGACTTGATGACTTTTGACTTCCATTCCCCCGTCAAACAGCACATTCGTATATGCATAACACCAACGAAATTGCTTCATTCGCGGAATTATTGTCCGACTGCATGCAGCAATAACTCGACGACGAACAAACCAATCGATCATGCGTTTTTTCTTCCGATAACATTCTGTTCAATGAACAAGGTGGAATGTCCACGTCGGCATGCGGAGATGTGTCTCCCCACCAACAAACGCGGTGCAGAAAACGACGACCCCGACCGAATGCAGATGGAACGCCGCTTATCAGCAGCTTTCCATCAACACTTGAACAAATTCCTTCCGTATGTCTTCGACACATAACGCGCGCGGCTGCTGCTACTGCTGCGCTGCTCGGCGCTTGGTCTATTTGCTCTTCGTCATCATTGAACACATAATACACATGTCGTGTCGTTCGTATTACGCTTTTACGATGCCCCCGAACGGCGGAATCACACCTAATTGTGGGCACTTGGAACTAAGCTGCAGCACAAACACGAACAAACATGGCTTTTCATGACCCCGAAGTATCTTTTTTTAGAATGAGCATTATATGATTGACAACACGAATCTTATCAACAAAAATGACGCAAGGACCGAAGTTTGGTAGTATATTTAGAATTTACTATCATGACCATAACAACAAGAACCTTGAACCTAAATCAGTGAAGTCAGCAGATTCTGTAAATTTTGGCTCTTCGCCAAAATTAGATTGGCTTTTCGTTGCCCCCATCAACAGAAGTGAAGCCCAAAAACGCTTCGAAAAAACAAAAATATCCGAGACTATCAGCAAGAAAATCTCTTTAAGCATCGTTTCAAAAATACGCAAAACTTGTTCAAAATTTACTGATAAAGTTAAGTTTACTCATAGCTCTTGAAGCGACCCGCTCAATAAAAAAAATTTAAAGCTCAAAAATCGCTATAAAACGACTTCAGCTTGACAAAAAACGATTTTTGGCTTTAGTATGAACAAAAAGACATTTGACAAGATACTTGCAAAATACTAGCGCAATTCAGATTTTACAACATTATCTTCCGTTTCTATTTTCTATAGTACACATGATGGCGGAATGATTAACACGTAGTGACTTTGCACATCAACACTTCCGGATTAAAGGTTACTCAGCAAACAGATGACACAGTGGGTTATAAATAGAAATGTGTCGCTCTGTAGCAAGTTGTTTACACTGCAGACTACAAAATCATCACTCGAGAGAACAAAAAACGTTGCCGAAATACCAACAAGAAAGAAGGGAAAAGGGATAAAAGCAAAAGTAAACTGACCAACCTTTCAAAAATGAAATGGCTTGTGCCTCATCAAGTTGTGTTCGACTTCGAAAAACGTCAATCGATTGTAACTGTTCGACGCTGAACGTCTCCTGCTTGGCGTCATTCATCGCTGAATACGTCGTTGGAGACGATAACGCATGAAGAGGCACTGATATACCTGGAAAAGGTTGCACTAATTTTTTGATAGTACGAATCCATGACAGAAAAATTTTTTGGCGTGATACTGTTGACTGAACTGAAGAGGAATGCACACAAGGAAACATGTGATGAAGACGAACAGTGCCCGAAAATCAAGACAAAATCACGAATACTCCCAAAAAACAAAAAAAATGTTGGTAGTATCAGATATCAACGATAAGAGAGCAGTGAACTTGGATATAGAGAAAATATTGGTAGAAGAGTTGCTTTTTCAACCTTTCAATCAAACATCAAAGTTTTCTCAATCAAGAAGACCATCAAAGGGCAAGGAAGAGAAAAGTTCCAAAGATCAAGATCCCAAAACCAGAATACGGTAACAGTTTCACTTTTATGTGATCGTTTACCAGAATATTGTCCCATTATAAACAATCCGGAAACAAAAGATACAAAATAAAAAAGTCATACGCGGAACTAGCTGTTACCGTTATGTTTGACGAAATGATGTTGAGGAGAAAATGAAGACAGAGAATGCGAAATTGAATAGAAAAATATCTGCAAAGAAAGAGGAAAGTAAAAATCACATGAAAGAAGTTATCAGGTTGTATGAAAGCACTCTGTGGATAGGTCCAAACTTCAAAACAGTGAACCTAAATGCCCTAATCGTTACCTATGAGTCAAAGCAAAACAAGAACGGGATGACTCATTTGAAAAGAGGGTATGAAAAGGTGAGAGAAAGAGCACAAAGAAACATGAAAAAACTAACCGAGAATTTCTGCACATCATAGCATGAAGAAAAGCAAAAATAAATGTGTGGAAGATGGCATGCAAAGCTTCTCAAAAACGCAAAAAAGGTCATCTATTGATAGCGTTACCACTGGCACGAAGCTGCTACACTGGGACTTCTATCAAGGGCAAAAAACGGAAAGTGCATCAGAGGCTGCAAGCTTGCAAGCGAATCGTTTCGTAAAAAATGTTAGACAACTGCAAAAAAATTGCAACCACACCCGAACACAGGAAAATTCACTGGGGATTCGGATTACACGATGGATCCTGCTACAAAACTGGAAGTGGAGGAGTTAGACGGTAACCACCACGCGGCATCTATCGCGCACAACGCATTTATTACACAGCCATCAACGAAACGAAGAGGATACATAGGAGCGCATTGCGCAGCATAGGCGCTGTATCATCAACGACAAGATTCCATTGGGCAAACATGTGCTTGAGATCAGTTTCTCGCACTTTCTTCTGGGTGGAAGTGTAAATAAGCGCGGAATAGGAGAATGTCGACGTTGAGCGCGAGTGCGACGATGATGGGCCGCCGACCGGAATCCCGAACGTCAGCCACACCGCTCTCGGCGAGCGCGGCTGCGACGACGGTGCGCCGCCGCTGGTCGCTCCCCCGCTTCCCTTCTCCCCGATCATTGTGCCCGTCGCGTCGCGAAAACCCGCAGCGCGATGGCCACGAGGATCGCGACGTTTCGGCGAAATAACACGTCATAATTCATGCCACATCACCATATAAAAAGGCACAAAGGCTTGGATTACTTGCTTCCTCTCATTTTCGAGGGGAAAAGGTCTCACATGTGATTGTGCGCGGGTAAGAGCCTAAGTGCGGCAGTATAACGAATACATGCTACCAATTTGTATAAAAATAATTATAAATTGCAAAAATTTTAGTGACAGAGGCTCAGCGAAAGAAGTGTGGAAACAAAAACAAAAAATTAGGCCAAAATTACTTTTCAAAGAAAAAGTTTCTGTATCGCTGACAAACAGGTATTGGCAGGAGTGGAATGTCGAGATAGAGAAGAATACCCTTTGATTTGTGATTAATCGTTCTTAAGTTGTAAGATTGATGACCGGTCAGAATTTGTAAGGAAAAGTGCAATAAATTGTTTGCAAAGAAAGGTTGTGATGAACAGTTGCAATAGAAAAACTTTCTAATTGCAGATCAAAGCACAAGAAATTAAAAAAGATCACTGAACCACCTGCACTCTTAAGAAGGTAGGCTACATTCTGATGACTTTGATAATTGGCCGAAGCTACGCACAGTTTTTTCTATCAAAAATGATTTCTAATCAATTACGCTATGCGAATTATCAAAAAGTTTGGGAAAGCAAATTCTAAAGACAAAATCAACAAATCAATCATCGAGTTATCATAAGATCGTTGATGAAATCGCGAAGAAAATCACTGAGCAAATTTGCTGACCAGTTCATGAGACCGACGGGGAGAAATACCGAACTATAAATACAGTTGAGCGCTGACTAATCATTTCTTTTGTGACTAAAATTCGGAACGAGTCAAGCACCGGATGCAAAACCTTGGTCAGAAGGGAAGCTAGTCTCTACCATGAAGAAAGAATGAGGAAAAAGCTCTTCGCTATTGATGTAACGCATAAATATTATGCGGTGACGTACAGAGAGTGACGCATGGAGAGCACGAGAAGGCAATCCCGAACAGCTGACCATGAACATATAATGGCGGTCTATGCTACCTCTAACATATGTGCGCGTTAGCTGTGATTTTTGAGAGGGAGAAAAACAAACAAATACAGAACTTATTTTGGAAACAGCATGAAACAATGTACAAAGTTTGCCAATCGAAATGAAATGAATGGACAAACGTAATTTGTATAAGCGATCCAGAAAGGCACAAAGATAGATATGGAAAGAAAAACATAAAACAAGAATTGTTGAAAATGTGTAGGTAATCGACTCACAGACCAGATTTTCGACGATGGAAAAGAATTCATACAAATTTTTAGAAGAAACTAGCGGCCCTAAGGGCCGCTTGCAAGTATGCTAGGGTACATATAGTCATCACCACAATAACCTCTACGTTTTATACCTTTTTAGGGTTCTGGGCAACTGAAACCGAGTAATAAATGACTTTTGACTCTTCTGATTGTGAGAATCCTCTTTGCTGATTATTCAATACCTTTTGACTCTCTTCTAAAAATTTTCTTTGGGTCAAATGTTTGCACCAATCTCAACAGAGTCACCAAGCAGTCGACTCTCAAAGCGACGATGTAGTCTACACTCAGCTAAACACTCAGAAAGTACCTCAGTTCCCGAAAAATTCCGGCAGCGAAAACAAGCATTGTATTCTCATGCCTTATGCGTCGCCTATAAACCACTTTTTGCAAATACGTACTGCTCCGCGCCTTCAGAGCGGTATATGTGAGAGCTGCCCCACGATCCTGGAGAAGAATACTTCAAGAAAAACTTTCCTACAGGCCTCCTACAGAGCGGTAATCTGAGAAAATAGTGCCCTTCTGGGATAAGTCTGCCATACAATCCCCCCCCTACAAATCGAATATTGCGGGTAAGCCTTTAAGCTGCTTACAGACGGAAAAATTGCCCTATGGTCCGCCCGCGGACGGTAATTAGTCATTAGAAGGAAATGCCCTATGGGCCGCTTACAGACCCTTATTTTGACAAGACTGCACTGTGGGCTGCTTACAGACTGGTATTTTTCAAAAAAGATATTTTCGAAAAAGAACTGCTCATGTAGAATGATCCTACGAGCCGCTTACGGACCTTTTCCAGAAAAGGTTGCCCTATGGACGCACACAGACCGATATCAAGAAGAAATTGTCCTTCAAATCTTCAAACCAACTTTCAAAAATTGTCCTAAGAGCCGCTCAAAGTCTATTATTGCAAGAAGCAGTCGCTCGCCCTATGTGTAGCACAAGCTGGTATTTTGAAACAACAGAAGCTATGAGCTGCTTGAGACATATCGTCGATTCAAAACGCACAAAGACTGGGTGCCATTGCGTACGACCAGAATAGCTGGTACGTGGGAGAGACAGCAGGTGGTAAGAGGAACGAAAAAGCACTTGATCACAGAGGCGCCGATAAGTCCGCAGTCTTTGTGCGCAACGAATCGAAGGTATCTTTACGTAACTACCATCGATATATTAGAGAATATAACTGCCCTATGCGCCGCTGCAGAGTGGTAGTTATAGAAAGAAAATGCCCTATAGGCCACTAACAGACCGATGATTTGAGAAGTTACTCACAGTTCCCTACAGACCGAGGTTTACAAGAACCCCCTTCCCCTTCCTCCGTCGTTCCTCTCCCAACAAACCCTACTGGAGAAAGAACCGTGCTGAGACTGCCCTAACAAGGGAAGTGTCAGAAGTCGCAGTGGCCTTTTGACATGGGATGGGTACCATCTTAAGCAGTTTTAAATGCTGATTCCAAAACATACTTTCTTAGCTGCAGAACTGATCTGGGTCGCGAGTCATGGGCATTTTAAACATTAAATTTTACACTGTTTGAAGTACTCTGTGATCACGGGGAACCTTTCAATTGCTTGTTTAAGCACCACAGCATGACTTTGATGAAGGCGTAGGATTACGTTAAACTTTGTTGGACTGTTTCATCTATGTTTGAGCCCGAAAAAATGTTCGCTTTAATTTTTGGCTATTCTCAGCGTTGTAAATTTCCCGCAAATTAAATTCAATAACTCTCGTCCTAGATTAGTTCTGCAGCTAAGAAAGGCTGCTTTGGAATCAGCATTTCAAGCTGCTTCAGATGATACTTATTTCATGTCAAAAGGCCACTGCGAGTTCTGACACTTCCCTTGTAAGACCGATATTCTGAGAAAAGGCTATCTTACCCTCCCCCCTCTTCCTTCCCCCACAGACCGATAATTACAGGAAGCCCTGCCCTATGGGGGATCAGCAGATATTCCAGATTACAGATCTACAGCCCCTACAAACTGTATTGCCCTACGAGGCACTCACGTATAATCTGCTCTATGGACAGCCAAAGACCAAAGTCTTGAGAAAGAAGCTGCCAGCTACTTATTGTTAGAGGCCTACACAATGGTATTTTGAGGAGGAACCGCCCTTGGAACCTATATACAACCAATATTTTGTGATAAAACTGCTCTATGGGCCACCTACAAACCATAATTTGAGAAAGGACTGCCTTACGGGATTTTACAGACCAATATTTCAAGAAAAATTGCTCTATGTGCCGCTGCAAATCGATAATTTCTAAAAGGAGC